AGGAGGAGGAGGAAGACAGGAGAAGTTGCGTCAGGTGTGTGAATGGCTCCTCTCGTTTAAGCTGATGCGCTTGTACAGGACAAGTCAGCCATTCCTCAAGGTCCTCTTGTGACAAAACGATCTTCCTCCTCCTCCTCCTTCCCTCCTACCTTTCACTGCTTCCCGTCTCCCTCTTCCCTGCCTCCTCCTGCTTCCCTCCTCCCTCCCTCTCCCCTGCCTCCTCCCTCCTCGCCTTCCATCGTCCATCTGTTATCATGTCCATTCTTCCTCCTCTCACACGAGCTTACAGATCAGCACGACGGCGAGCGGCGATGGGAACAGTTGGGAAGGGATGACGCGGATGTTGAGCAGAGGAGGAGCAACGCGGTCGACGGCTTGTCAACTGTCGAGTTTGCGCGCGAAATTGACAAGCTGTCAACTGCCAGCAGCAGCGCTCAGCAGGGTCAAACTGCCCAGCTGGACTCGAAAGGGATGCTGTCTTCCATGCTGTCTGAGTACGACCACGACATCGAGGAAATCCTCCACCTCTACCTCAAGGATCCTCCGAGAAAGTCAGGAGGAGGATCAGTGGGGGGAGGAGGAAGAGGGGGAGGAGGGGGAGGAGGAGGAGGAGGAGGTGGTGGTGGTGGTGGAGGAGGAGCAGGAGGTGGAGGAGAATCGCCTCGACGCGAGACGGCAACGACACTGGGAGCAGGAGGGATCTCCGTGCCAGAGAAGATGCGCTCTCCGAGGAGGCAGAATACGCTGCGCGATCGCAACTCGTGGGAGGAGAAGGTGGAGCAGCTGATGTCTACAGTCGAGGGCCTCTCCGCCCAGACAGCCCGCCAGCTCCTTTCACACACGGAGGGGTCTCTGCGGCAGAGCATCCTGATAGCCCAAGACGCCATGGCGAACGTGGCGCACGAGGAGAGCACGGCCTTCTCCTCGTCCTGCTTCTCCTCAATCTCCCGCCCCTCGGAGTTCGCGCTCATGTCCACCAGCTCCAGGGGGCAGCTGGGCGATGACGTCATCAGCATGTCCCTGCTCCTCCAGCTCTCAGACATCTCCGACATGGCAGCGTTCTGCCGGGAGGTCAGAGCCGAGCTGAGCGCTGCGTGCCAGGTGGAGAAGTCAGACGTCCTGCTGAAGAACGTCAGGGCTGGCAGCGTCATCGTCGACTTCTACGTGCAAGGTCATGAGCAGGAGGACATGGTTCAGGTAGAGTCCTGCTGCTGCACCTTCTGCCCTGCACCCTCCCTCCCTCCATCTCTCTTGTGCCCTCTTCTTGCCCTTGTCCTCGACCTCCTCGTCCTCGTCCCAATCCTGTTCTTCGCCTCCTTCTCATCTCCTCCTCCCCTCCTCCTCCTTCTCTCTGCATTCACCTTCAACCTTCTCTTCATCATGAGATGATCCATACATCTTTCTCTCATCTCTCGCTCACGTCTCCTCTGCGACACCTCTGACTGATCGCTCTCCTCTCTCTTCACTTCTCCATCTCCCTTCTCTCCTCTCTTCCAACCTTCTCCTTCCAGCTGTTGAACGAGCAGCTCCAACATCCCAACAGTCGGCTCCGTCAGGGAAGGCACACTCGTCATGCTCTCAACTTCTTCCTCCTCGCACATGCCGCAAAGCCGCTGGCCAGCATGATGCAGACCGTCTCCCTCCCTCCTCCTCACCTGCTGGACCCGGACACACTCCTTCCTCTCCATCGCTGGACGGACGGGGTGAGTCCGAGGGCGACAAACCTGTGGGGCACTAGCAAGACGCAGGTCTACGAGGAGGGGAGGAGGCGGCGAGAGGAAGAGGAAGAGGAGAGGGAGAGTGACCTTGGGAGCTTGCCGGACTCTAGCGATGACGGGAGAGGAGCGTGGGATAGGAGGGGGACAACAACCTCGGGTATGAGGATCAGGACAGCCCGTGGAGTCGCCGACATGAAGGGAGGAGGGGGAGGGAGGAGGAGGGGGGAGGAGAGAGGGAGCCAGCGTTGGAGCGGGATGCTGCGCTACCGGACAGACGAGCACGTGATCATGCCGGGGTATCGGGCGAGCACAGGAGGCGTGAATGAGGTGAGAAACGTGATGAAATGTTCAGCTGGATGAGAGCTGGGTAGGAGGAGCATCCGGTGCTGGGGACGTTCGAGGTGGTACCGATGGAAGACGCTCCGATGGATGTTGTCAGGTGAAGGAAGGGGAGGAAAACAATCAGGAAGAGAAGGGGGAGGATGAGAAGAGAAGAGAGAGGAGTGGAGCAGACTATTACGAAGTGGGGAGAGGGATCACAGATATGAGAAGGATCAGTGGAGGGAGGAGGGAGCTAAAATATTGTATTGGCTTCAGGGGGGAGGAGGGAGGGGGGAGGAGGGGAGAGAAGAAACAGAGGAGAGGGGAGCGAGGAGCGAGGAGCGAGGAGGAGAAGGAAAAGAGGTGAATCAGATGGCAGGAAGCGAATCTGTGGGGAGATCTCGCGCATGCTCTTGCTGCCAGAGGACGGCTTTGAGCTTCTTCAGCTCCGCTCCATCGGTCGCCGTCGCCTGCGCGCGTCTGTCCTTCTTCACAAGCACGGGGACAGCAGCGGGGAGGAGCTGTGGAGGAAGATGAGGAAGCTGGTTCTTGCTGGAGGATGGGGTGAGAGCTGGTGATGACGAGCAAGGCAGATGATGGACGGCCGGTACATTCCCGCAGACAGAAGGCTGAGGTGAGGATGGGAGGAAGGAGGAAAAGGAGAGGGAGGAGGAGAGAATAGGTGGAGGGAAGAAACTTTGGGGCCAGGAGGCGAGTAGTAGGAGACTGCAGAGCTGAACGAGATCAATAGGTTCACGCTGCTGGATGACGCGGAGGGGAGGCAGCAGGAGGACGAGAACGGCAGGGAACTTTTTCTGCTCTGAAAGAGAGCACAACAAAACTTTGAAGGATGTAATGAATTCAGGGAGCAAGGAGAGCAGTGGAGGTCGAGGATCGAAGGGTTGACTCGTGCTAGGGGAAAGAGGAAGGGAGGGCAGAGTGACTTCAGGAAGAGAGAAGATCAGGGCAGAAGGGGTGGGAGAATGGAAGAGGAGGCAGAGAGAGAGGGAGGAGGGAGGAGGGAGGATCCGAGTTGAGCGGGCTTCAGCAGCCATCAGGGATGACTGAGCAGTCGATACCGTGCGAGCCCTGGAGGAGGAGAGCGTAAGGGCGAGAGCGGCTGCTGGTTGTGGAGGAGATTTACCTTGAGCTCATGAGCAGGGGGCGTCAAAGCGCCTGTCACTCTGTTCCTCTTGGTCTTATACATGGTGATCTGCACGTGGATATCAGAAGCGAGGAGGGAGCATGTAGGAAAGAAGGGAGGGCAGAAGAGAGGAAGGAGGAAGAACGACAGAGGGAGGAGGGCAGGGGAGAAGAGAGGAAGGAGGAAGAACGACAGAGGAAGGAGGGGAGGGGAGAAGAGAGGAGGAAACGTGGGGGAAGGGGGGGGGGAGGCGAGAGAAGCGATTGGGGTGCACTAGAATGAGGAGGAGAAACTTTCCTGTCGCTTCATCAGCAGATCGACGTTGTTCCTAGCGGCGATGACCTGGAAGGAGAACGACGAATGAGACACACGACGCATCGCATGTGAAGATTAGTCAGGAAGAAGAAGATGATGAGAGGGAGAGAGGAAGAAAAGATTCGATTCAGAGGAGCGAGGGAGGACAGAGGGAAGGTGGAAGAAATTCTGAGGAGATACGGAGGAAGCAACAAGTACAAAGCAGGGAGGAGGCCACAAGTGAAGCACAGAGGAGGCGGCTGTTACCTGAATGCATTTCCTCCTTGTTCCTCGAGGGATTGGAGTAGGAGAGCCGTGCTTGTCTAGGATGGTGTGGCCAGTTTGCGAGCAGAAGTCTGCGAGAGGTTCAGGTGAGAAGGGAGGGGCAAGAGGAGAGGTAGAGCAGGACAAGAGCTCAGATGTGGGCCAGGGTAGAGGACAGAAGGAGGAGGCAGTCGGCGAATGAGGTCGAAGGTGGACAACAGAGGGCTACAGATCAAGTCTAGCAGCAGCAGCAGCAGCAGCAGCAGGAAGGTGAATGAACATGATGAAGATGACGGTGATGACCGTGAAGGGGAGGAGGAGGGTCGGGAGGGAGTACAACACAACTCACCGTCATACAACTTCGAGTCCATGTTCAGATCTCGATGGTACTTGACTCCTGTTGGAAACTTCAAATCTTCCACTCATCGTCCTGCCCCCCTCCCCCCTCCCCCTCCCTCCCTCCCTCCCTCCCTCCCCTCCCCTCCCTCCCTCCCTCAGACTTTACCGACAGCACGCATCAAGTGTTCCACACAGTCTCTCAGCTGCCTCCCACTCAAGTCTCTCCCGGCACCTGAAGGGCAGCCGTCAACCCTCCCTCAAGGCAGCTCTCTCTCTCACAGAATTCCCATGGTGTTCTTGTGTAGTTGGCATTCCGATCCCATTCTCGTGAGAGATCGTTGACGAGAATCCATGCCGTATGCTTCTCGACCGGCTCCTGGACGCTCAGGGACTTTCTCCCTTCCCTCATCGCGCTGCTCCGACTTTCACTGGCCCTCCTCTCCTCCTCGCTGGCGAGCTTGAGCTCGTGGAGGTATTGGTTCAATTTGGATGTTCCCCGCCGAATATTCACGTCCCTCTGAGCACGAGGCCTTGATTGCGATTGCAGGAGATGGAGTAGAGCCTCTCCCTTGTTGCCTGTCAGCATAGCCCATTCTTCGATCATCTTGGGATTCGATTTGTACAGCTGCTGTACGTCCTTGAGAGCTGAGCCCATCAATGCCCCATCCCCTTGCAGCATCACACGCTTGCCGGTTGAGGACGTATCCTCTACTAGGGCGTCTTTAGCCACCAACATCAGGGCAGCAACAAACATGAAAGCACTTGCTATTGACAACCCTGATCGAATACGAGCAGTTCCCGAGCGAAACCTCACATGCGAACAGAGCATGGCGGAGGGTGTGTTGTTTTGGCGAGACTCACAGCATTCTATGCCTTGTTGTTGATGTTCAGCAGCAGAGACTGTCGCGCTACTGCATTCAATGTCTGCAGTGTCTTCGCGTACAACGAGCGGGTGATCGTTGTTTTCGTTCCAGGGCATCTCGCACACAAAAACCTGACGAGTCTCACGAGAACAAGGGGAGATAACGAGGAAGAGACAAGTCAGATGTTATGCAACAAGACAAGTCAGATCTTGTCCTCTTCCCCCAACCTTGACCTTCTCCACCCCTACTGCGCTGCCATCGCCCGCCGCTATCTTCCCAAAATATGTCAACGGTTATTTTTTGTAACCGTATCATTCGTTTGACGTTACAAATCTACTTGAGGACGTTACATTTATCGTAGCGGTGCTAATTTGGGCATGGCAAGCGATGCGGGAAGCAGGATGCAGGAGGAGGAGGGAGGTGGGGGGAGAGAGACGGCCAAGGAGGAGGATAGAGGCAGATAGATAGAGGAGAAGCATAGAGATAGATAGATAGTGATAGACGTACACATCGATTATGACAGAATGCAAAATGCAAAAAACAGAGAGACAGATTAACAAGGGAAACTGAAGTTGGGATACCGCAGCGACAGGAAGACGAAGAACATGGAGGAAGGCATTGGCGATTTTAGCTAGATTTAGAGGCGTCGTCGAAGGAGTGAAGTATCTTGTTCTGATTGCACTGGCTCAAATGACTGCCGTGACTCTTCAACCTGGATTTGTTCAGAAGGGAGAGAGGAAGTTTGTTGGATCATATGAATAGACAGATGAATGGCAGGAGATAGAGCAAAGTCACTTGCGATCAAAAACCAATCTAGGCGTTGAAGGGGTAGTACCGATGAAAGATCCGTATGATTGCTATTATGCGCAATGTGCCTTCCTGAGATGGAAAAATCTACGGGATCATCCTGTATTTTCAGAAATCAACACACTTCTAGCCGTGGGAAGCACTCCTGACAATTAGCCCCTCTTCTCGAAGATTTTCTTTTAGCTGCAAGCACTGAGATCGTCCTCTGACGCTGCTGCAGGCTTAACATGTTCACGGACTTGTGCTTCTTCTCAATCGACAAGCACTTGGGCATCAACTGTGAGCAAGACTTGTTGTATCGTCTGTTTGCATGATGTGGTGTTGCGCAGATGCTGATGGGGGCATCAATCTTTCTGGACATAACGGCTATGTCCGGGATTGCACCAGTCTCGGGCCAGACGTTCCACCTGAAGCTGGTCTGTCCCCTTGTCATGCAGCTGAGCGCACTGAACGCGTTTGCAGGAGCAATGACCCTCTTGCCTCTCTCTGGCGTGAAGACAGCGAAAGGGAAGGGCAAGGCTGCCAAGGGCGCTAAGGCGGCAGCCAAGAGTGGGCCAACATCGTTCTACGCTGGGATGCAGTGAAGGGCGAGCATGAAGAAGGGTGTGTTTGTTAGATAGCTTGAATATTGTTTGTATGAAGTGTTGTGTTGTGCGATGCGGGGTGCGCTGGATTAGACGATAAGTGGAAGCATCGTCGGACTCTGCTGCAAAACCAGTCGCACTGCATACTTGACATCCCATGTGGCGATGACATATCGGGATGCTCAATCCAGTCCGTGAGATGCACCTGCCACACTCTTTCGACCTCTTGAGCACAAGCAACAGCAAGCAGGGAAACATATCCGTGCGACGATGTCAGCCCACCAGTTAAGATGTACGATCGACTTGATGTCACAAGTCCGATCTCAGGCCGTCAGGCATCGCACTCAACACGAAGGGACAAGGATTGTCGATCAATGGTGTATCGGTCACGGGCGAATGTCACACTCAGTCAACGATGTCTTGCCTGTATTGTACTAGACTGAGTAAGCTCTCTCAGCATAAGACCGTCATGCGTTGATGCTGAGCTACCAAGCTTCCGCTGCAGTCGTCACATCTTGAAACGATCCTCCAGCCATACAGCACCACTTCCTCCTCATCGGCCTTCCTCGCTCCTCCCCGGGCTCAAGAAGGGACGACAGGGGAGGACGAGCGCGAGCTGGCGGATCAACACTATGTTTGCGGAGTCCTTCGAGGACAACGTGACGGCGGGGGCACTGGAGTGGTAAGAGCGAGCGGGGCTGGGTAGGAGCTGAGGAGGCGATATCATCCGAGAATGGAGGATGCGTAGAATACTGTAAATAATAAACCCATCGTACAGAGAAAACTAGTGTTAAACTTTAAGGCAGTTCAGCGTAGTAATGCATAGTTTTTCATCAGGACGTTGACGAGCCTGACCTTTGCGGACGATGTCAGCAATTGTTTCAAGCATCACGTCGACAGTCGGAGTGGTAACTTTGTGCTGATTCAAGACGACTTGGTTCAAGTGACGCAGATCACAACAAAGCGATAACTGTTGGGATTAGTCGGGGAGCGTGGATCACTTGGACGTCGAGAAAACAAGACCCGAAAACCAAATTCGCTCTCGAGCATGGACGAGATTGTTGCTTGAAGTTCGCCCTCGAGGTGAAGGCCGGGCTTGAGATGTAAGCTGGAGATCAGTCGGCAGATCGTCGACCAAGACGTCAGCAAATCCCGCACACAGGTCCTTAGCAAGTTGAGCAGGAATGGTCGAGAGTGGCTGGGCTGGATCCGGGAGGCATGAGCGTCGGTAAGAGAAACTGTTGTCACTGACAGAACTGATTCCTTGAAGGGCACCTGGTGCTCCAGGCAGGCTGAGCGGCGGGGATCCACGGGCACCAGACGAGTCGACGAGCACCTCGAGTCGCTATCCACGAGTAGCGCAACTATCCACGATGGCCAGTGCGACAGTGTCAAGCCTCCTCGACTCTCCTGATTGGCCTCGTATGATTTTTAACTTAACTTTGAGTAAACACTACCGAATGAAAGGAGTTGCTGATCCATCTGCTGATCCATCCTCGGATGCACGCCTAGCTAGCAGTGGCGATCTGGCTAGTCAATGATTCTGATGAGTGATACTTTTAGTCAACTGTTTGACGGTATTCGGGGACTCACGAGTTTTACTACATACAGGGTTGACCACCTCGAATCGTGACGTGACTCTGATACCAGCACCCTCTTCGTAAGATCTTTCAAGGCTAGACTGCACTCGAAGGGGGGGATTCGTCGAAACTGATCTCAACCCAGCCATCATGAGACGCTGAAAGGAAAGCACCTCTATCAAACGATGAGGTCTACCCGGCCAGTCGCCTCAAACGTGACACACAGCCCCGTAACTTGGGATAGACTTTACTCCCTTCCACGAAACGTCACGTTCCGCCTTGGCCCGCAGATCTCAACCCAGCCATTACGAGCCAATGAGAGAAAAGCAGCTCTAACAAACGGTGAGGTCTACCCGGCCACACTCGCTCTCCCGACGTGCTGCTGCCTGGCCTTACAGGCGATCGACCGACTGGTATCGTGACTCTCGTAGCTGTTGGCCGAACCGCCGTGACATTAGGCCCCCGCATCTCCTCGTTTATAATACCTTTTACATGCATGTTCCTCCGCCCCCTTGCATCGTAGAGCCTTCATATCAGACCCCTACGCTCCTGCTCCGACAGCAGCAGCCCCCCGCACCGCTGACCCATGCCCTGCTCCGTCTCCCTCGTCGACCTCTCCCTCTCCCGCGCCCTCCCTCCCTCTCGTCCCCGCCCTTCCCTCAAGCTCTCTCCCGCTCAGCAGGCCTTCGTCGACGCCCACAGGCCCTCGGGCAGCCGGATGGAGGAGGAGCTGCCGGCGGGGGCAGTGAGAGTGAAGTCGGGAGGGGAGGGGGTGATGGCGGGAGTGATGGAGGCGAGGAGGCGAGGCGTGCGGGTATCAGCGGAGGACATCGGGGAGGAGCGAGGAGGGCCGATGGAAGGGAGGAGGCTTATGCTGGCAAGCAAGAAGAGCTTGGGGGCAAGGGGGTCGTTCAAGGATGTGACGGAGGCAGCGGGGGCGTGGAGGACCTGAAGCAGAATGAACTCAGGAGATTCAATAGGTGTATGTGTATAAGCGGGGAGTAAAATGGGTTTCTAGGAATAAACGATGATATAGGAATTGTTTCCCGCATTATATTGTTTGATGGCTGCTGAAGTGAAAATGTTAATGTGGGTTTTCATGTCTAAAAGTACAGACTACCATTGCTGCGATTCTTTGATATGGACGGAAGTTTGCTTTGTCGCCACATTACATCACACTGAGTGAGTGGCTTTGCATTCTCGTATGTACTCATTGCACCATATGAGAACATGATGCGTTTTCAGAGCACAAATCCTTCATCTGCACATTAGTCTGTCATTCGTGTTTCCACATGATGTTATGAGTTTGAAATCACTACGACATGCCCTAATTGATATTTTGATGAACAATTGCTATGATCTTATTCTGGTCTAACCTCGTCTTGACGAGTCAACAAGCTCCCCACAATCGCATTCTGTGCATCTTTACATGCTTCGCAAGCCCGAGGGCTTGTTGGCGTCGACGAAGGCCTGCTGAGCGGGAGAGAGATCGAGACTCGCGCCGATTCGCCGGTAAGCTGCATGAAATTCTCCGCATTCTAAGAGCTCATCAGCTCCGTTTTCCTCGCTCCCCGACTCTTCAACTGCCACGCATGCTGCCACTGCCATCCTATTGCTACCTTGAGAGCGTTCTCTTCCTCATCTCTCCCGACCGAGGCTCCTCTCCCTCCAGCCCCTACCTGCTCCTGGCAAGCTGCTTTACAAACCAAGTACGGTTGATCGCTCTATGGTTGTTTATTCCTTCAAGCCCTATATACTCGCCCCCCATTCGCAAACACACAAATACACCTATTGTACATCCCGCTCGCCTTGTCTCCCTGACTCGCCTGGCATTTGCCTCGCCTCAGCTCATCCACGCCCCCGCTGCCTCCGTCACATCCTTGAACGACCCCCGTGATCGCTTCCCGCTCCCAACCATGAGCCTCCTCCCTTCCATCGGCCCTCCTCGCTCCTCCCCGATGTCCTCCGCTGATACCCGCACGCCTCGCCTCCTCGCCTCCATCACTCCCGCCATCACCCCCTCCCCTCCCGACTTCATTCTCACTGCCCCCGCCGGCAGCTCCTCCTCCATCCGGCTGCCCGAGGGCCTGTGGGCGTCGACGAAGGCCTGCTGAGCGGGAGAGAGCTTGAGGGAAGGGCGGGGACGAGAGGGAGGGAGGGCGCGGGAGAGGGAGAGGTCGACGAGGGAGACGGAGCAGGGCATGGGTCAGCGGTGCGGGGGGCTGCTGCTGTCGGAGCAGGAGCGTAGGGGTCTGATATGAAGGCTCTGCGATGCAAGGGGGCGGAGGAACTATGCATGTAAAAGGTATTATAAACGAGGAGATGCGGGGGCCTAATGTCACGGCGGTTCGGCCAACAGCTACGAGAGTCACGATACCAGTCGGTCGATCGCCTGTAAGGCCAGGCAGCAGCACGTCGGGAGAGCGAGTGTGGCCGGGTAGACCTCACCGTTTGGTAGCGTTGCTTTCCTTTAAGTGTCTCGTAATGGCTGGGTTGAGATCTGCAGGCCAAGGCGGAACGTGACGTTTCGTGGAAGGGAGTAAAGTCTGTCCCAAGTTACGGGGCTGTGTGTCACGTTTGAGGCGACTGGCCGGGTAGACTTTACCGTTTGGTAGAGTTGCTTTCCTTTCAGTGTCTCATGATGGCTGGGTTGAGATCTGCAGGCCAAGGCGGAACGTGCCGTTTGAAGTTTCGACGAATCGAGTGCACTCTAGAAAGATCTTACGAAGAGGTCGCTGGTATCAGAGTCACGGTTCGAGGTGGTCAACCCTGTATGTAGTAAAACTCGCAGTGAGTCCCCGACTCCAAGGGGTCGGCTCGCTGCTTGAGACCGTCAAACAGTTGACTAAAAGTATCACTCATCCGAGGCATTGGCTAGCCTGACTGGTGTCTTCCTTGACCAGAACAATCTTGCCGTCATCGACTTGCTTGGGCTTATTCTGATGACAAAACAGATCAGCTGGGCCTTCATTCGTGAACGGATCAGCTACTTCTGCATTCGAGGATAGATCAGCTACTCCTTCATGCGGTGTGACAGCCCCCGAAGCTTTTCGGGTTTCAGGCGACTAGAGCGAATTCTCAAGGCACCTCCGCTGGATCACACATAAAGGTGTAGAGTAGACATGTCGAGCTTACTAGATCAGGGTGGCATACAACATGAGCAGAGAACAGACCCTCCTAGCTGAAGAGGCTGATCCTTATATAAGCTAAGGGAAGGACTAGGGGTACTGCTCCCTGACGCACGAGCACACTTGCCTCGTGCGAGCTCTTGCCTCTGGCAAGCTTCTGCTGCACCTCTTACCAAGAATGAGGAAACCACCCGTACCAGCGAGTCTCGCCGTGCTAGGGCTCTGATACGGTGATAGATAAGCTACTCCTTCACTCGTGGATACATCAGGTACTTGCTCATTCGGTGATCGATCAGCTTCTTCTTCACTCGTGGAAAGTTGGGCTGCTCTGTACGATGGGTTTATTATTTACAGTATTCTACGCATCCTCCATTCTCGGATGATATCGCCTCCTCAGCTCCTACCCAGCCCCGCTCGCTCTTACCACTCCAGTGCCCCCGCCGTCACGTCCTCGAAGGACTCCGCAAACACAGTGTTGATCTGCCAGCTCGCGCTCGTCCTCCCCTGTCGTCCCTCCTTGAGCCCTGCTGCTACCTTCCTCGCCTCCATCACTCCCCGCATCAGCTCCTTCCCCTCCGACTCCACCCTCACAGCTCTCCCTGCTGGCTGCCTCGCCTCCTCCGCACACGGCGATGAGGGCGCGTGAGCATCGAGGTATGCCTGCTGGGAGGGGGAGAGCCTGAAGCAGGGGCGGGAGGGGCGACAGGGAGGGGAGGGGGGAGAGGGAGGGAGGTCGACGATGGTGATGGCGAGGACGAAGGGAGGCATGCCTGCTGCTGAGGGAGCTGTGGGTGCGGAGGAGAGGCTGGAAGCTGCGGATCAAGGGAGTGGTGGGGCGGGGCAAGCCTCCGTAAGGGGTTTGAAAGACGCGACTGCTCTTGCGAGGGTCAAGAGAAGATAGAAGCCCGCCTCAGACCTTGAAGAGATCTAGAAGTTTCTTTAAAGGGTCGGAGACGTGTGGACGTAAGCAAGGCATCTTGTAACAAGGTTCTCTTTCCACCGCATCGCGAGGACGCAGACCCATGCCCTGCTCCGTCTCCCTCGTCGACCTCTCCCTCTCCCGCGCCCTCCCTCCCTCTCGTCCCCGCCCTTCCCTCAAGCTCTCTCCCGCTCAGCAGGCCTTCGTCGACGCCCACAGGCCCTCGGGCAGCCGGATGGAGGAGGAGCTGCCGGCGGGGGCAGTGAGAGTGAAGTCGGGAGGGGAGGGGGTGATGGCGGGAGTGATGGAGGCGAGGAGGCGAGGCGTGCGGGTATCAGCGGAGGACATCAGGGAGGAGCGAGGAGGGCCGATGAGGAGGAAGTGGTGCTGTATGGCTGGAGGATCGTTTCAAGATGTGACGACTGCAGCGGAAGCTTGGTAGCTCAGCATCAACGCATGACGGTCTTATGCTGAGAGAGCTTACTCAGTCTAGTACAATACAGGCAAGACATCGTGGACTGAGTGTGACATTCGCTCGTGACCGATACACCATTGATCGACAATCCTTGTCCCTTATGACGTGTTGAGTGCGATGCCTGATGACCTGAGATCGGACTTGTGACATCAAGTCGATCGCACATCTTAACTGGTGGGCTGACATCGTCGCACGGATATGTTTCCCTGCTTGCTGTTGCTTGTGCTCAAGAGGTCGAAAGAGTGTGGCAGGTGCATCTCACGGACTGGATTGAACATCCCGATATGTCATCGCCACATGGGATGTCAAGTATGCAGTGCGACTGGTTTTGCAGCAGAGTCCGACGATTCCCCTTATCGTCTCCTCCTGCGCACCCGCATCGCACAACACAACACTTCATACAAACAATATTCAAGCTATCTAACAAACACACCCTTCTTCATGCTCGCCCTTCACTGCATCCCAGCGTAGAACGATGTTGGCCCACTCTTGGCTGCCGCCTTAGCGCCCTTGGCAGCCTTGCCCTTCCCTTTCGCTGTCTTCACGCCAGAAAGAGGCAAGAGGGTCATTGCTCCTGCAAACGCGTTCAGTGCGCTCAGCTGCATGACAAGGGGACAGACCAGCTTCAGGTGGAACGTCTGGCCCGAGACTGGTGCAATCCCGGACATAGCCGTTATGTCCAGAAAGATTGATGCCCCCGTCAGCATCTGCGCGACACCACATCATGCAAACAGACGATGAACGCTGCTTGGAGTACAAGGATTTGAAGGTTAACGAGATGAGTGGCAGGAACTAAAAGTTTATTTGACAGTGTAGCATAGTCTTGAAGTGAGTTAACAAGCACCTACTACACACATACATTGTGTATATCCAAAATTCCTTCTCGCAGACTCTTTCTCCCGTAAAACTCCAACCTTCAGGTCCTCCACGCCCCCGCTGCCTCCGCCACATCCTTGAACGACCCCCTTGCCCCCAAGCTCTTCTTGCTTGCCAGCATAAGCCTCCTCCCTTCCATCGGCCCTCCTCGCTCCTCCCCGATGTCTTCCGCTGATACCCGCACGCCTCGCCTCCTCGCCTCCATCACTCCCGCCATCACCCCCTCCCCTCCCGACTTCACTCTCACTGCCCCCGCCGGCAGCTCCTCCTCCATCCGGCTGCCCGAGGGCCTGTGGGCGTCGACGAAGGCCTGCTGAGCGGGAGAGAGCTTGAGGGAAGGGCGGGGACGAGAGGGAGGGAGGGCGCGGGAGAGGGAGAGGTCGACGAGGGAGACGGAGCAGGGCATGGGTCAGCGGTGCGGGCGGCTGCAGCTGTCGGAGCAGGAGCGTCGAGGTCTGATATGAAGGCAGAGCCCTCGAGATGCGGAGGTCTGCACCGAGATGCGTGGGGGTCAAAACCTCTTACAGGGCTGTCACGATACCGAGATAAGCCTGCTTCAAACGCTTTGACTGTGAGCGTCGATGACCGCTGCATCTGATCCCCTGGTCTCGGAGGCCACAGCCGATCAAGGAGTGCTCGATCACAGACTCTACAATCAGTCTCAACTCGGTGTCACCAACCTACAGCACGGTGCGGATCTTTTACTCAAAGCGGATAGTTTAGTGACACCCGGGTCACAAATCACTCAGTGTCTGTCGCCGAGCTGCCTGACGGGCCCCGGGGGCCCTTCAGTTTCGCTTTCCTAGCCGGAGCCAGTCACTGTCTCGACGAGCACACGCGGCAGCATACAAGAAGCTCAGCTACCCTTGACTCCCTCCCTTATCCATTGACATGTGCAGTCAGTCAGCTGCCACCGCACAATGATGCTTACGACTGTCACTGTATTGCCTGGCTGCGAGTCTCAAGAGCAGTCTCTGCTTCCACTCTCATGCTGCAGGAGCGAAGCTCCTCGTCCTCTACTGCCGATCTAGTCCAGTGCCGTCTCCAACCAACCCAACGGCGATAACGCTTCGAGATTCATAGAGATGCTGATTGTTGCTCTTTGTGAATTGTTTATTCCTGCAAGCCCTATGTACTCTTAGCCTATTCGCAAACACACAAATACACCTATTGTACATCCCGCTCGCCTTGTCTCCCTGACTCGCCTGGCATTTGCCTCGCCTCAGCTCATCCACGCCCCCGCTGCCTCCGTCACATCCTTGAACGACCCCCGTGATCGCTTCCCGCTCCCAACCATGAGCCTCCTCCCTTCCATCGGCCTTCCTCGCTCCTCCCCGATGTCCTCCGCTGATACCCGCACGCCTCGCCTCCTCGCCTCCATCACTCCCGCCATCACCCCCTCCCCTCCCGACTTCACTCTCACTGCCCCCGCCGGCAGCTCCTCCTCCATCCGCCTGCCCGAGGGCCTGTGGGCGTCGACGAAGGCCTGCTGAGCGGGAGAGAGCTTGAGGGAAGGGCGGGGACGAGAGGGAGGGAGGGCGCGGGAGAGGGAGAGGTCGACGAGGGAGACGGAGCAGGGCATGGGTCAGCGGTGCGGGGGGCTGCTGCTGTCGGAGCAGGAGCGTCGGGGTCTGATATAAAGGCTCTGCGATGCAAGGGGGCGGAGGAGATATGCATGTAAAAGGTATTATAAACGAGGAGATGCGGGGGCCTAATGTCACGGCGGTTCGGCCAACAGCTACGAGAGTCACGATACCAGTCGGTCGATCGCCTGTAAGGCCAGGCAGCAGCACGTCGGGAGAGCGAGTGTGGCCGGGTAGACCTCACCGTTTGTTAGAGCTGCTTTTCTCTCAGTGTCTCGTAATGGCTGGGTTGAGATCTGCGGGCCAAGGCGGAACGTGACGTTTCGTGGAAGGGAGTAAAGTCTATCCCAAGTTACGGGGCTGTGTGTCACGTTTGAGGCGACTGGCCGGGTAGACTTCACCGTTTGGTAGAGGTGCATTCCTTCAGGCCAAGGCAGAACGTGACGTTTGAAGTTTCGACGAATCGAGCGGCAGTCTAGAAAGATCTTACGAAGAGGGTGCTGATATTCCCAGTGTCACGCGTCAGTTTCACGTTCCGCAGATCGGCCGGACTTCGGCGGGCCCGTCACCTTAGTCACTCACAGTACGGTCGGACACTGCCGACACCTCAGTGTGACGGAGCCTCGGCGGGAGCTGCGGAGCCTGTCACCGGGCACCCCGGTTGTGACTGCCAGGGCCACCTTCTTGGTCAGAGTCAGAGTGCGACTGTTCATTTTTCCGAATCATTAGGTAGAAACCTGCCACGGTACTACCGGGTATGTTAAGTTACATCCGGAGCCTGGCACCTGTGTCACTGGCGAAGCTGCGGCGCCTACCGGTCACGGGCAGCCTGTTCGCCTTCCGCCTCCAACCACTGAGGATGCCCCAACTTAGAGTCAATCTTTATGTGTCATACTCCTTGACAACCTGATGGGTGTACTCTCTTTGCTAACTTCAGACCACTCACCTCTCATGGGCCCTCAGACGCTGCCGTTTCGCTTTTGATCTCTGGCAACGGATGAGCTACTCCTCCCTGTTTACTGTTCCCTCGCCCCTGTCTCCTCCAGTTTCCTTCTGCCCCTGCCTCTCCTCGAGCTGACGATCCTCGACTGCCATCCAGGGGAAGCTGGTAGGCCTCTCTCAGAGTCATCACAGAAGCTCCTTGCCGGAAGAGGTTGTCTCCATGGCCCGGGCGGTTCACTATCGCCATGGCATCGGCTTCCGAGAGCTCCTTGAGAAGGAGAGCATAGCTGGTGTCGTCCAGCCGACGGAGAGAAACCTTGCTGGGGGCAAACCAGCCACAAACATTCTTGATCGACGATTCGGAGGGGAGACCGATGACAACCAGGGTGGTCATGTCCTCATCCAGGAGTCGGTCTTGCGCCTGATCCACACAGACTGATTTGAAGTTTCTTGGCACGTGCAGAACATTCCGGGCCTTGTCTCCATCTGATAAGACGTCCCTGAACATGTCCCCAAAGATACAGCCTGTTGCAAACGCATCCCAGCCGCTTTCGTGCAGCTTCTGGGAGGAATAATGTTTGAAGTCACTATGAAGGGACACCCTACAGGCGGTTGAGGCATTCCGAGATCTCCTGTAAAGGTCCAAGAGGTTGGTGAGTTGGGCATCTTCTTGTTTGAAAGCCACGTGAGCAAGGTACTTGGTATCGTACACTTGGGGGAAGCTCCTGTGAACGATGCTTTTGAACTCCATCAGAGTGTTGGGCAGACGGCATTCAAAATGAGAGATCAGAAACATCAGGTCGTACAACCCGTTGTGTACCACCATGGGCTTCTTGCTTGATGACAGCACATTGAAAATGTGCCGAAACCCAAGACGAGATTGTAGGATCTGATGCGCTTTCTCTGTCGTACGCTTCCGCCAGCTCTCATCTCCCCGCGAGCAAACCAGCCGCATGACAAGAGGGTTGCAGGGCTCTTTCCTCGTCATCACAACCAGCTTCGGGTACTTCATCGCAACCTGCTGCTGCAGTGCAAGCCTGATGAAGGAGTTCGCACTGGGAAACATGTATTCTTCATTCCCCGCCTGCTCGCCTACACCATTCATCCACGCATCCAGTCCATCCATGAGCCTGTTCAACAGAACAAGATCTCCCTCTCTTGTGATTGCAACAGGTCTGGACTGTCTGAACTCGCTCTTCTCCACTCCGAACTGTCTCATGACGTCATAGCGGACGTAGACCTCTCCAAGGGCATCGGTGTAAGGGATCCCATCGTAGAACCATCGGTTGAAGTCCAGCTGGCACTGCCCTATGTGAAACTCGTGGATGGTGTTGACGTCCAATGTTACCCGAGGGCTCGAGCTTGACCTGGAGGAGGGGAACACGAAGAAAGTGTAGGGTCTAGCGATCAACCCACCATTCTTCTCATCCTTGTGAAAGATGCACAGCCCTACAGATATGATGCTGTTCGAGGAAGCGACCTCTCGCATCTTCATGTACCGATCTTCGAGGTCCTCCATCCATTGGAATTCGTCGTAGGTCTGCAACGAAGTCATCTCAAGGTCCAGAGTGTAAAATTCACAGGATGGCAGCATGCTCTCGATCTGACTAGCAACTTGCGGGAACATCGAGCGATCGATGAAGGACTTCTTGGATTTTGCAGGTCTCCAAAGGCCGAAAGTTGATGACAATTCAGGGATAGACTTGAGATAAGTCAAAGGGTTAACCCTCTTCGAGATGGACTTGCAGGCTTCGATCACAAGGCTTCCCACTCGTCTCAGCATCGAACTCTTTGGCATGGAGCGTCTTTCATGAACTTGATCCAACCTCCACTTGCTCGCCTCGTAGGTCGGCTTGCTGATCTTGTCAACTCCTCTGAGTTCGGTGGAGCATCGACTATGATGGGTCCTATCCATGTCGACGGATTTCAGACCAGCATTGGAGTTGATTCTCACTGATAACGTTGGTGCCATCAACAGTAAACACATCAAGAACAAGCTGAGGGATGCCTTTGCTGATCGGCTGCAAGTCAGCATGCCTGCGAGGCGAAAGCTGCTTGCTAGCAAGGTTCCCATGGATCGCTCAGAGAGGCTATCATTCTTCCTCTAGTCTCCTGTATAGTTCCATCTACTCTTATGTCTTCTGTGCTGGCAGCAACTCCTTCTTTCCTCTCCCCCTCCCCTCATTATTGCCCATGTCCGTCGACATGGTGAACTTGGGACGAGGCCATTTGGAATCCGTCCCTTCCTCAGTTTCATTCATGAGGACAACTTGGTTTTAAAACTCTTCCTGTCATATTCAAAATTCTAATTGGGAATTTTGACAAGACTCAACAGTGACTCCGGGCCCGAGCGGTGACTCTCTCGTCAGCGACCGTACCCGGTGACCCGCCGGGCCGCCGCACGCACTGCCCCACTGATGCAACCGGTTGAACCGGCCCGGGGATTTTTAATCAATCACGGCAGCCCGCGGCCGCCGGTAAACTTTGAAAGGCTCAGTGAGTCACTGTCCGACGGACCGTACTCACGGTCGCCGGCCCGCCCGCGCCGGCGCCGCGGCGCGGCCCGCCGGGGCCGGGGCCACTGGCGGCGGCAAGGGCCGGAAGTTTGAACTTGTTGAGTAACTGAGTCGACGAGCGGCGATCGGACCCGAGGCACCCCGTGACCGTGCCGTTCACTCACTCGGACCGTCGCCGGACGTTGCCAAGTTGAACCGTTGAACCGTGCCGGCCCGGCCCGGGCCGCGGCGCGTCCGACGGACCGTGCCAATACTACGGGCCGGGCGGCGCCGCGAGCCCGGCTCCGGCCCCCGGGAGCCCGGTGATCGGACAGCGGCCTCCGATGATGCCGCCGCCGCGGCGCGCAGTGCGCCGCGGGCCCGGGGCCCGCCCGGCCGGGACCCCAGGAGCGGCGCCCGGCCTGGTGATCGGACACTGCGGCGGCCCAGCCCGGTAAAACGGGCCCGTCAGGCTTGCCAAGAAGTTGCCGCGCCGGCGGCGAATACTGAAATTGACCGGCACTCGAAGGTTGCGAGGCTGTATCGGAGCCTCGGAGGCAACCGTTGCAACCGTTGGCTGTAAGCCCCCCGCTGGTTTGTCGGGGAGCAGTCACGAGACGGCAGGGTCGAGATGGTCTAGAAGGTTCTTACGAAGGGTCAGACGGCCTTCTACCCCGAAGAAGATTCAAAATTAAAAACAAATATCCGGGGAGATACCTGGGAGATACCCTCGACTTCTTCATCTCGCCCTCCTCTGCAGCCTGCTCTGCAGCCTCGTGCTACTGGTATCATCCGCCACAGCATGACACGCGTCCTCGCCATCACCATCGTCGACCTCCCTCCCTCTCCCCCCTCCCCTCCCCGTCGCCCCTCCCGCCCCTGCTTCAGACTCTCCCCCTCCCAGCAGGCATACCTCGATGCTCAGGTGCCCACGTCGCCGTGTGCGGAGGAGGCGAGGCAGCCTGCAGGGAGAGGTGTGAGGGTGGAGTCGGAGGGGAAGGAGCTGATGCAGGGAGTGATGGAGGCGAGGAAGGCAGCAGCAGGGCTCAAGAAGGGACGACAGGAGGGAACGGGCGCGAGCTGGCGGAGCCAAGTGTTTGCGGAGTCCTTCGAGGACGTGACGGCGGGGGCACTGGAGTTTCATGCATGAGCAAGAAGGGGAGTGTCGGAAGACAGTTGCAGCCTTGACGCGAATTGAGGATGTACGATGTAGGATAGATGTAAGTTAAGCGAGGGAACGATTGAATAAATTCATTTATACAATCATACAATTCTGATAACCTTTCAATGTGCATGTTTAAACCTCTACAGTTGTGAAAAACAGCCTTGAAATGTGCATGAATACATGATGTCAATATCAAATTCCTTCAAATCAGTTGTTCGAATACCTTTTTTCGCTTGGAATTGTGAAATTATTTTGGCTGTTGTGAAACACAAATCAAAAGGTTCGCCCGAGTTGAAATACACTCATATCACTATGTTTATTCCCATGCTTGAGCTTACATCTATCGTACATCGTACCTTCCCCACCTCTATTTAGCTTGATCAAAGCTCATGCATGAAACTCCAGTGCCCCCGCCGTCACGTCCTCGAAGGACTCCGCAAACACAGTGATCCGCCAGCTCGCGCTCGTCCTCCCCTGTCTCCCCTTCTTGAGCCCTGCTGCTGCCTTCCTCGCCTCCATCACTCCCCGCATCAGCTCCTTCCCCTCCGACTCCACCCTCACACCTCTCCCTGCCGGCTGCCTCGCCTCCTCCGCACACGGCGATAGGGCGCGTGAGCATCGAGGTATGCCTGCTGGGAGGGGGAGAGTCTGAAGCAGGGGCGGGAGGGGCGACGAAGAGGGGAGGGGGGAGAGGGAGGGAGGTCGACGATGGTGATGGCGAGGACGCGTGTCATGCGAGGGAGAGTCTGTTGCAGTCGTGTTGAAGTTGCACGAGCTCGTTGAGGAGTAAGCAAGGGCCACTGGACTGGTGATCCCCGGGACTGCAAGTTTGACTGTCAGCGCCAGCTCAGCGGCTGTAAGTCTCTACGGCAGTACCGGACCAAGTTTCCAAACGGTGTATGTTTTAATGGGCCTCCGGAACCTTCGGAAGTTCCGACCGACTCGGAGTCGGCCGGTAGTTGCCGCCGCCCCGGCGACCGCAGTGAGCGGCGAGAGCGGCGCCGTGGTGACCGGGCCGGGCGGCCACGGCCGGGCCGGGCCGGGCCGCGACTGATCAGTCAGGGCCGGATGAAAAAAAACGCGCGCAATTTTCAAGTTTGTGGCCTGCAGAATTTCATGGCAGGGATCTTTAACAAGAGTCGTCGAAGCCGATTTATAGCCAAGACAAACACAGAGTTCAAGACCAAGAAATCATCAAAATGTGCTTTCTTTGACGAGAAGTCATTTTTCAAGGAGGACAGAATGGAAGAAGTTTTTGATTTGGAAAATCCCAGGTTGATATGAATTGGAAAATTTTGAGTCCCATCTTACCAAAGCAGGGAGATGAAAAATCCTCCATCATCAGATACTAAACCAGGCAAAAATCAAACACACCGAAATCTGTCACACTTTGATCAAGACGAGGATGCCAAGAAGGCAAAGCCAGACGGTATATCGGAACGACAACTCGTGCTCAACCAAATGGCGAATGCAACTACACGATTTGTGAATAGTGGAAGGTATTCTGTGAATGAATCATTCTGCTTGGTGCTGAAAATCAGTGCTTTGTGTTGTGTATGCAAGGAATGAATTTCTGCTGTCTAATGAGAGGCAGTCAGCACTCAACTATTACAATTGCAAGAATATTTTTCGGATCGTCGAGAACAAGCGCTTGGCATCGACGGATCACTTGGAGAAAGAATTCCAACACAAGCTTAATCATTTTCAAAACAGAAGCAAATGGGTTTGTTGCGATACATTTGTTCAAATTGAACTGAATCCAGGTGAAAGGTCATACATCAATTGCGAAAACACCTGCGGGCCGCTGGCTCTTCAGGATGCTCTCCAGAAGATCGAGCAGTTTTCTATAGCCCTGTACCAGAGCCGAGAGCAGGCAATTTTTCAACAAGTACAATGGCGGTCAAATCGGACGATCAGCCTTCTTTGAATGAACGAGCGGGTTTGTTGAGCTGTTGTTATCGAAAGAGACGAGACTTGGAGGATCGACAACCCAGTTCACATCTTGAAGATGATTCGAAGTCAAATTTACTGACAAGCAGCAAACATCACACTTCTCATTTAGCAGCCTCGCCAGGTTATCTTGAAAACATTTTCAAGACCTTCGAGTCACTAAGACCCTTCCGAAGCTTTCCCGTTTGAACTAAAAATATCGGAACCTCATCACACAACGCCACCAGACAACTCAGCTCAACTGTCAAGGTAATGTCTCAGCCCCATGACTGAAATCAAGTACTGATGTCTTTGACTGCTCTGTTAGCTCATTAGAGCCGAATTCGGGGGACTGCTTTCAATCTCCATCTTTCACCATTTCAGCCAGTCTTGAGCTACCCGACTTGTCGTGAGCACAAAGTTGCATTCTGCTGCAATGAAGTTGAAAAATTTCATAACCAACTTTGAAATTGATGTCTACACATGTTTTGATTCGATCAACCCAAGCTTCGACAATATCAGACACGCGATCTTTCTTCCCCCCTGAATGCTTGGCTCAACCCGAGCAACATAGTCTCTGGTATCCTTTCCATCGAGCGCATCGGCTAGGTGAATGGGCACCACCTCTCTTACTCCTGGAATTTTGACCTTTGACACGCCGAGTTCGAAAGCAATCCGCATTCTGTACTGAAGAATCCCAGGAGCGCAGTGATAGCACAGGCAATAGAGGGCACTGTTTGCCCAACTTTGGTTGTTTTGCTCGTCTAAATTGTAAACCATGCACACTGCAATCTTCTCTGATGTAAGATCGAGCACAGCCGGCAACATTATTACCTTTGCTGGCTTGCGATTCTCAACTAGCTTTTTGACGTACTGCCATCGCGAATGAGGGACAACAAACTCAAGTTGGTCAGTCAGAGCACCGATTGCAGTTGATAGCGGAAGATCATCTGAAGGTACAGAACGGACGGGTGCAGCCATCCCAGCAAGAACCTTTGGCGAACATCTTGTCAAGACAGATTCTATCAGCACAAGTGTTTAACACCATGGAGTGATCATGACTGTAAGGAGGGCGATGACTGTGCAGATGGAGGGAGCAAGGGCGATGTCGTTTCCTCCGACAGAGACGACCAGATAGTCTCTCTCTGTCAAGTTCTGCCTGATCAGTTCATCTTGCGCTTGGAGGCTACCGCATGCGGGCATGCAGCAGCATTGGAAGCCGCCGGTGCGAGACGTCAGGGTGGTTGCCTCGACGGCTGATAGGAGGTGAGCAGTGAGCAAGAGGGGCACAAAAGAGATGCTTGCTCACCCGTGTTGACGACGAACGACTTCACCTTCTTGTCAGCGAGCTCATAGTTCATCCAGTAACACACGTCCTTGACCATCACGGTTGGTTCAAGTACTGCCTCGTACCCGTTCACGGCAGCAGCGGTGAACGCCCCCCTGGTTTGATCTTCGATCAGCGACTGCGCAGACTGTCCGCCTCTGAACAGCCAGTGCTGAGACAGCATCAGTCAGCACAGCACATGCTGCTGCTGCAGGAACACGGCAGGACCTTGTTGTCCAGGGTAGAGTCCCCCGCAAGGAAAATGGCAGCGGCGTCAGATCCATGGCTCCTCCGTAGACTGGGAGCGGTCAGAGGGGAAGGAGCGCAGAGCACGCTCGGTCACCTCGCGATGATGCTCTTCAGGTAGCTCTCATCATGTCCGTGATATGTCGAGTAGTACGCGCCTCCCGGCACCGCCATGGCTGACTGGAGCCTTTGCAGGAGGGTGGGCAACGGACGGGGCGCAAATGCCAACTGGGCGGAAAGGGGAGATGGGAAACATGGAGGCGAGACGGGGGAAAGGAACAGGTTGAAGCAGCTTGATCGGAGAGAGGGAGGAGATGTGAATGAACATGTTCGTCATGGATACAACAATCTTCCCTTTCAATCGTCTTTAGTTTCCTTGTTGCAGCGCTATGCTACCCTCTCCTACACGACATCGCCGTCAATCCTGGCGGGCATGCGCCGGCGTCTTGGAGAGCCAGAAGAGCCAAGAGAGCAGGAGGATCTGAGCAGACGCTCTGAGCATGTGCGTGCCTGTCAGCCCGTAGCTGAGCCGCACGTTGCCTAGGGGGACGTCATGGGAGAACATGTAGACGTTAGCAGGAGTCATCAGGATTGTCAGCCAGAAGAGCGACCGCGCTGCTAGAGGGGAGAAAGATGTTGCCAGCCATCCTCCCAGCGCCAGCTCGGCGACGCCAGTCCAGAGCACGTGGAAGGCTGCGCTGCCAGGGATGTAGGGGGGTACGATCTTGCAGTAGTTCTCGAAGGTGGATGGTGATGAGGTCTGCGGGAAGTGGGCGGTGCTTGCCAAGCAGTAGAAGCCTCCCAGAAAGATGCACGATCCAGCCCTTGCAAGACTCATGGCGACACCGATGATGCGATGAAGGGGATGACGGGATGACGATGAGGTTGAAGGGAACTTATCCTTCTGTGCGCAAGTCATCAGCAACAGTGAAGTTACAGCATGAAGACAACTGTCACCTGATAGCAAGCTGCTTCTTCAAGCTGGTGAGGATAGTAGATGTTACAGATCTCAACCTTCCTTGGTCTTGCTCTCTCTCTCTCTCCCTCCTCTCCCTCTTCCCCTCGCTCCCCTTAGTCAGGTTGTCAGAGCTTCAGTTTATAAGGAGTACCCCCTACCCCCTCATCCCCACTCTTTTACCGTGACCCTACCCCCTTCGTCCAAGGCATAAGCCCCGACATGGTCGGGGCGCCCATCGGCTTCGCGCTCCTCGTGCCGCGAGTCTGCGCGGCCTGCAAGCGGTCAGACCCTCCATGCAGCCTCCAGCCCTTCCAACCGCTCGCAGAAGACGCCATGCTGTGCCAGGACTGCATGCGGAGAAGCGAATTCAGGTGCTGCCCACTTGCTGCGTGTTGCTCCACCCCTGTTTGTCCTGGACGAGCATCGACCAGTTCTCCTTCTCCTTCTCCTCCTCCCTCCTCCTCTTCTGATGATCTTGACCAGGACCATCACCAAGACTCGAGCGATCGAGGAGTACGGAGTCACAGAGGAGGTGCTGGCAAAGCTTCGCTACATGACGAAAAAGAGCAGACAAGGGTACATGATGAAGCTCTACCTCGAGAAACAGGTCGCTGAGCACGGGACGAGGAGAGGAGGCGGAAGCGATGTGTGCGTTCAGGCCCGCATCGATGAGATGCTTGCTCCTCACAAGAAGCAGAAGCTGAGTGAGGGTATTGTGGAGGAGCAGCAGGAGGCGAGGGGACGCGAGGAGGGGAACGAGTTTCCTTCTGCGAGCAATCTTGCGACGTCCCCTGACATGGTCAGGAAGAAGATGGAGCTACTGTACAGAGGTTCCTCGCATGGCAAGAGGATGCAACAGGCCAGCGACCCTCTTGCGGAGACTCTCGCGTGCTGCTTGCCAGAGGAGCTGCTCATACGGACTGACGTGCTCTCCTCTCGGCCCGGCTGGAGCGCAAAGGGGGAGGGAGGAGGCGGAGGGTTCATCCTGTACGTGATGCAGACGGCGATGAGAATGGAGGAGAATCATGCGCTAGAGGTTGCGACAAGGGTTGCAAACGCGTGCTTGCTTCCTGTCTTCGTCGTCCTCCCCCTTATCTCCGACGATGTCATTGCAAACGAGCGCCGATGGACATTCATCTTGCAGGGAGTTCCTGAGATACAGGTGCTTGCTAGTTTCTGCTGGTGCTGGTGCTGGTGCTGGTGCTGGTGCTGGTGCTGGTGCTGGTGCTGGTGCTGGTGCTGGTGCTGGTGCTGGTGCTGATGTCCTTCTTGATGCTTGTTCTGATGCTCCTACCATTCACGCTCTTCAACTTCTTCTGTTCTTCTGTCATCCCCATCTGCCTCCTTGCAACATCTCGCTCCCCCTTTCCCTGCTCTGCCATACCCTGTCTCCCTTGCTCGCTTCCACTGCTTCCTTCCCCTTTCTCTCTCCCTTGCTCAACCCGCCCTCCCCATTTTTTCATCCTCCTCTCCTCTCCTCTTCCCTCCTCTTCCCTCCTCTTCCCTCCTCTCCCCTCCTCTCCCCTCCTCTCCCCTCCTCTCCCCTCCTCTCCCCTCCTCTCCCCTCCTCTTCCCGCAACCCCTTCTGGTTCCCTGCTCTTCCTTACTGATCTCTCACCCAGGAGGCTCTTCGGTGCAAACTCGGCATCATGTCCCATGTACTGGTTGACGGCTACAGAGGTTGCGACGCAATGGCTGATCTGGTGACCTCTCCTACCTCTAGCCTGCCGTGCTGTTGTCGCTCCTGTCAAACATCTTCTACCTCTCCCTCTTCTTCTGCCTGGAACTGCACCTGTATTTCTTCCTCTTCTTCCTCTTTCTCTCCATCATCTTTGTTGTCCTTTACGCTTCATCTTGCTCTGCTCCTGCTACTTTACAGATCTTGCCCATCCATCCGTGTCCATCTCTTATCTCCTCCCCATCCTCTCCCTTCTGTCTCCTAGTCTGCTGACGTCTCTGTCAGATCTCCTTGAGCAAACGTGCCAGCTGTGTAGTGCAAGAAGACATGCCTGTCCTCCCCTACCGGCGCTGGGCAGATGAACTCGCAGCCCACGCTTCCGTTCTGCTCGTAGACACTGCCTGCGTCCTTCCCATGAAGGTCAGAGAACAAGAGAGGAGGAGAATCTGCTGGAGAAAGAGGAGTAGGAGGAAGAGGGAAGTGATTTGAAAAGAGAGAGGAAGGAGGAAAAGTGGAGAAAGTAGGAATGGGTCCTACAGAGCAGGAAAGCAAGTGGAGGGGAGGAAAGCAGGAGCAGGAGCAGGAGCAGGAGCAGGAGCAGGAGCAGGAGCAGGAGCAGGAGCAGGAGCAGGAGCAGGAGCAGGAGCAGGAGCAGGAGCAGGAGCAGGAGCAGGAGCAGGAGTCATATGGAGCTCTGATCTTGGGAGCAGGAGGTTGGCAGGGCGTACGCTTCTGCTTCATCCTTCAGGTCAGCCACAGCGAACAGAAGACAAGAGTACATGGGGAGGAGGCTGCAAACTTCAGCTCCCTCGTGTAAACTGTTCGTCCCGGAAGGCCTTGAGCCCCTGTGCCTCTCCTCCTCCTCCTCCTCCTCCTCCTGGTGGGCTCTAGACATCGTTCGGGAAAGCAGCCGGGTAGACTTGTCTGTCCCTGCAGTGGAGCACAGCAGAGGGGGAGAGCAGGCTGCGGGGAGTAGGTGGAAGTCCTACCTGCGCTCTGGACTCACATCATATGCTCGCAGACGTAAGGCAGGAGGAGGGATGGAGGAAGTAGGAGAGAAGGAAGGGGGAGGAGGGAGGAGAGGAGAGGAGAGGAGAGGAGAGGAAGGGAACGGAGTGGAGGATTGAGCTCTTGGCAGGGAACAATGCTCTTGATCCAGAGGGGGTCAGCAGGATGTCTTGCTTCCTTCACTTTGGCATGCTGCCCGTCCGCAGGGTTGCGTGTGACGCCAACGACAAGAAAGCCAGCAAGTTCCTGGACGTGAGACAGTAGAACCGTCTCCTCCTTTCGCTCCCTCACACTCTCCTCCTCCTCCTCCTCCTCCTCCTCCCTCTCCTCCCCCTCTTCCCCTTCTTCCTCCTGCTTGCTCTTGTTGCTCCTTTGTTTGCTTTCCTCCTCTTTGTCCCTTCGTCCTTGTCCTTGTCCTTGTCCTTGTCCTTGTCCTCATCCTCGTCCTCGTCCTCGTCCTCGTCCTCGTCCTCCTCATCATTTCGTCTCAGGAGCTGCTGGTATGGCGGGAGCTCGCCTACTCATTCTGTAAATACTCGAAGGTCCAGGGGTTCTCAGCTCTACCTGAATGGTCGCGCAGGTCGCGATATGATCTCCTCGTCCTCGTCCTCGTCCTCGTCCTCATCCTCGTCCTCGTCCTCCTATTCTTTCTTTACGATCCTTTATGTCTCTTTTCTTCTATTCTTCTCTCGTTCTCCCCTCCTCCCCTCGGTCCTACGTGCTCCTCCTCCCTTCTTGTTTACCTCCGCACCACTTCCCTCCTATCGTCTTGGCCGCCTTTTCCTTCCTCCTTAGGTTCCTTTCAGGACCCTGAAGAAACATGCACACGATGCGCGGGAGCGGGAGGCGACGGAGGAGAAGCTGGAGGAAGGGAGGACAGGAGACGAGTTTTGGGACTCCATGCAGCAGATACTGGTAGATTTTCCTTCCTTCGATTTGGCGTTGATCTCTCCCGCTGCTCCCTGCTCCCTGCTCCCTGCTCCCTGCACATGGGTTTTCCTGTTTTCTCCCCCCCCCCCCCCCCCTCCTCCTCCTCCTGCTCCTGCTCCTTCCCCCTACCTGTTTCTCTTTCCTCCGCCCAACTTGTGATCTTCGGACTTGTTGCTGCTTCTTGTATCAAAATCTCTTTCTCTTCGCTTACATGTTCAGCAGGTCAAACAAGGAGAACTTCACAACAACTTGCGCATGACATGGGGGAAGGCGATTCTTGCGTGGGCCAGCGACCCGGAGAGGTGAAAACTCAGAAACTGCTTGTGATCCCCGTCCTCGACCTCGACCTCGACCTCGACCTCGACCTCGACCTCGACCTCATCCTTGTCTTGTTTCACTTTGTCTTTACATATGCTCGTCTCAATTGCTCCGGTTTTCTTCTAACCTGCTTCAGGGCTGTGGACATAGCGCAACGTCTCAATGACAAGTATGCTCTCGACGGAGCCGATCCATGCAGGTACCAACTTCTCCTCTCCTCTCATTCTTCTCCTCTCGTTTCCTCCTCTCATTTTCTTTTCGCCGTGACTCTTATTTCCTCCTCTCCTTTCTCCTTCTACTCCATTCGTCGTTTTCTTCTCTCTTGCTTGCAAGCATCTTACTTACTGTCAGCGTGTCTGGTGTGCTCTGGTGTGCTGGATTGTTCGATGGGCCCAAAACACCCGAGCGTAAGGTCATGGGCACAGTACGTCTGCGGTAAACTCCTCCCTCCTCCCTCCTCCCT